TTCAATCACTCTCAAGCTCTCACCTTCACTTAAAAACATGTTTAAGGAAGGGATGTGTGAAAGAAAATCAAGAAAAGAGAAGATAGAACTCTAGAAATCAACAAGAAGGTGTTGCTTCCTTAGAAATCCAAAATGCCCTCTTTGTAATTATACAAGTGATTTCACTCTTGTATCACTCTCAACTTCACATATAAGACTTTTCACAAGTCTTATATTCTATCTAAATCCCTTACATAAGCTTTGCCACTCTTCAATCACCCCTCTTTCACAAAATGCTTCTAACCACAGAAAACACTTCTTATAACAAATAGGAGAATCTCTTATGAAGTTAAGTATATGAAAGCACAAAGTTAGAGCACCAATGATGAAATTCAGCAAAGAAATACAATACTAAAGTTCTAAAACATCATTATATGGAGTCTAACAATAACCAAGACTATCAATGCACTTAACAATAAGTAAAAACAAAAACTACATCAATAACTAGATGCATAAGAAGGGTTAGAAGAGAGCAAACTCAAACTTCAATAATAACCATAAGATCTATTCTTCACAACAAGAAAGACTTCAAAGTACTTCAAAACTCACAAGTAAAGGTGAGTGGGCCCATAACCTATTGAAGAACAAGCACTTTGAAGACACAATACTTATCATCAGCAAGGTTGCACACAAAGAGAGTATGGAATAAGATATCTCTCACTTCCAATATCCATTACTTATAGGTAGTGGTTGCTGCCATAAAAGACAACTTCCACCTTTTGACTTTTATATACATGGTCCTAGGATCCTTTTGGCATCTCACGAGACTTGAGGATATCCTATGACACACACTAATGACTCATACCTAGTCTTTGAATATTCCCTTATTAATACTTTATCCTTTTGACTTTGAATCTTGATCCATGACTTCGTCCTACATCCATTGGATGCCCTTACCATATACCAAGAGTCAAACCTTTGACCACTAATAACTTATCTAATTTAATATCTTCTATAAGGTAATTTATTCTACTTTTATTTTAACATAATTTTCCATAGATGTTCAAAGTAATATTTATTTTTTAAATATCAAATAACTCTATTACTTTATAGCATGCAATATAATTATGATACTTAGATTTTTAAAAATATATTGCAAGCTTTGAAAGATTCAAATGATTTAGATTGTGACTTATTTCACTCATTCTTTTTAATTTATATATTTAAGTGATTTTTTTTTAACATTCACTTGTATAAATTAATTTACTTGATATTTTTAAATTAATACATTGTCTAAAATATAATAAGCTAAATCCTAAAATTTCACTTTCTTCAAAACTAATATAAGTTACTATTACTTCATATCTTAAACTTATTAGGATAGAATAGTTGTATTCATTATATGATATTATGTGTATTTATTCATTTCTACTTTCTAATTTAAACACAAAATTTATGCTTAAAAATAATAATTAAAATGTTAATTAAAATATAATTTCATATATGAGCAATAATATTAAATATAATTCGTACATAATATTATTATTATCGTTAAACATAATATTATTATTATCATTAAACATAATACACAAAAGTTGCATATCCAAGCCACCATGTCTTTACACCTTTGTTGTTAAGAGTATTCTGCAAATGAATACAAACTATACAATTAAATCCATGCATTCATTACAAAGCACTTTTCCAAATGAGTATTTCATAATAGATGTCTACTATCAAAGGAGAGATAAAAGGGGAGATAAAAATGAAAGGATATTAAAAAATTAGAAATACAACAAAAAAAACATTCTTCTCCTATTATCAACTTTCTGATCCAAAATGGACCCAAATCCACACAATTTTGAAATCAAGAACAAAAAACATATAAATAGATGGATATACATGCAAGTATAGAAAGAAAAACAAGAGTTTGAGGTAGAAAAACCAACTTGGTGGCTCCATCTCAAAAATAAGAATTGAAACGTCCCTCCAATCCAAACCCTAAAAAACTCCCACATGAGACAAAACCCTCTAAAACCCCCAGCCTAAATTGGCGATGGGTTTCTCTAAATTAGCGGGAGCTGAACCCGCCAAGGCCAGAGTTGGCGCCCTAAGCGCTCTGGCGTGGCAATAGGACCACAGGGGTGACAAAACCTGAGCGCGGGAAATAGTATGCGCCACGTATATCTCCCTCGCTTTCCTTCTCCAGGCTTTAACTGCAAAATTTGGCAGTGAGTCCACGTGGTATACCAGCCTTTATCTTTGTAATAAACAGAACCTTCATCTGGCTTTCTATTCCTCTCCTAAATTAGCAATTGTTAATTGGGTCGTTAAACGAGCCAGTGTGTTTTTAATGCAGGCTAAACTAATCGGACCCATCTGCTAATTGTCGTTGCTATTGGTCACTGGAGCCCCTTTTTTTTCTTTTTTTTTTTCTTTTTTTTTTTCTTTTTTTTTGTATTTCAATTTTATTTATTCATTACTTTTATTGTCTTCTTCTCCCTTTTTTCTGTGTTTACTTTTTTGAGATTTTGAGATTTATTCGTTTTTAAGCTTAAGACTCCGGCTAACTAAGGTAAGGCTAGTCAACTGACCCACACGTAAATATATCAGTCATAACAAAACAAACATTAGGTGGGAAGGAGGGCGAAAAAGTGATGCTGGTTTATCTTATTTATGTATTATTTTCAGTAGTTAATTGTTCGTTTATGAAAAAAAATCACCTGACTTTTTTATCTGATTTTGTTTTTTATTTTTTTTATCACTGGTTTATTTTGAATGGTATTGTTACTAACAAGAAAATGAACTGATGTACATCCAGGTTGTCATTTGGGTTGTAAATATTTTCTTCCTTACGATGTCATTAACTTCTAAAACAAGCTGACAACCCAAACATATGAGTAGAAGAAACAGAAAAATATAAAAAGTATACAAAATAAAAATAAAAATAAATATGTACACATGGAATTTTTCACTCTGTGAGTATGTACACATGTCAGACATATCCACTGTTTGATTGACAACTATAGGAAATAATAACATCATGGTGGCCAATATTCAAAGGGAATTTCTTCACACTCCAAGTTCAAGTTCAGGAATTTGTGGGACTGGAAATTATGCCGAAGTTAGGGTTGATTTTCTTATCACAGGATACATTTTAAAATGTCATCTGATGTTTTATTTATATTTTTATGTACAGTATATTTATGGAATAGGCAACTTTATTTACAGTTGACAGGGTAGTGAATACATACTGAACTCAATGTGTGTATATATATATACATAAACATGTTTCATGATATAGCCAAAGACATTAAAATAGCGTACATAGCTAAATAATGCACATAATGATTCCAAAAGTAATAAAAGAAATAAATAAACTACTGCTAACCAAATGTTTTGCATGTATATATATATAAATACACACACACAAATAAAATTTCAAATAAATCATACATTCACACATACAAGCATCTGAATAAATTCCAATTGGGTTCAGTGGAAATCCAAAGTCATGCCACTGTTCACAATCTCAATCTAACATGAATATATGTTCTTATATGATTGTATTGCCCACAATTTTGTTTCTGTTATCCACTATAGTGCATGTTTACCAAATAATTCCTATCATCATTCCCATTGTTGTACCTCTTCATAAACAAACAAGTTTGAAACACATATTTTTGTAACAAGTTTTCCTAACACATGCGAAAAATGTGCTGGTGATGAATATTGGGTGGTGCTGTTGGGTTTTACACCACTGCCCTCCTTTATTTATTCCATTTAATTCATCATTAAAAATTAGGGGTTGGTCATCCCCATCAATTGGCCCCCTCTCCCTCTCTTCCTTTATGAAGTTTCAATACACCCTCTCTCAAACTCACTCACACATTCCAAGTGTGTTCTTAAATGGAATGAAGGCAGTCCCTTCAACACATAAAAACACAAGGGACCCCTTCACACATCCTCAAAACTACACACATGTTACCCACCCACCCAGATGGTACCACAAACTAACAGAAATCATTCGCGTTCACGACATTAATCCATACATCCACCCTACACTCATCCATCTTCGAATTCAAAACCAGACGAACTCACCACCCGAAACTTTTTCTTTTTCCCATAAAAAGTATCTCTCTCCTTTTATGAAAAAGATGTCGTTCATTTCTGGACTGCAGCGCAACGAGGCTGGGAGTTGACTTTGTGACCAACGAATCAACACGGGCGAATGAAAATTGGGTAGATGAGACACGTGCGTTTCCCTGCAGGGGTGTGAGGGCTGCGAGCATCCGACACAGGCGCTACAGTCTCGCGTCGATTGTCGCTGAGAAAGTGTTGCGTAATCGTCGAAGCTCGTTGATCGGACATCCATAACGCAATCCAGTTGGTGGGTTTTATCGCGACGAGAGCTGCGTAATCATTGAACCGAAGGACTGCTATCGTCGTGATGTGGTCGTTCGTTGGTGGTGCTAGGCGATTCGCGGTGTGTCCCTTCTTCATTTGAGAGAGGGTGGTCGCTCGCTCGCGGAGTGATTCCGACTATGTTAAGAGATTGTGGCCCATTTACCAATAATTTCCTGGTGCAGGATTCCCGAGTGGCGACGATGCCATCGCAGGTTTTACTGAGGAGTTTTGGAATAGTCTCGCGAGACTAATCTCGGACTGGTCTGGGCAATTCGTGGGAGCTCGGGGGGTTGATTCCTGGTGCCGATTTCATTTTAGACCCGCGCCAACGTCTTCCTCGCAGATCGGAGGTGTCGCGGAGGATCCCCTCCCCTTCCTGCCCCTCCTCCTCAGCCTTTTCTATTTCCCACCCCCTCGCGCCTCCTTTTACCTCCCCTTCTGTGGCCTCTGGTGAGCGCCACCACGAGAAAGGCAACGAAGCATTGGCCTGCCATCGACGCTCGTCGTGGTCGTCGAATACATTGATTTGCTTCAGCTTGGTTTCTGATGTGGTCTCCGTCTCACCCTTGTGCGTGTAAAGCTCTTTCTTCATTGCGTATGGCGATCCGGAGCAGGTTGTGGAGGCTTCGGTAGGTCGTCAGAATGTTTGTTCTTCAGCTTATCTCATTTGTTCCGCAGACGCGTTCAATTTGCCCGCTGATTGTCCCGCCCTCCTCATCATTCTCAGTCTCGTCGATTGGTCGCAGCTGTCTCTCCCTCAATTGAACGAGCTTCTCCTTGTCTGTTTTGCCTCGAACTTGCCGTAAGCAAATTGCGAGGAATTCATTTGCCCTGTTTGGCGCAGTTCCGGTCTTGTCTGCACAATGATGAGGGTGAGGTTTGTGGATGCGCAGCAGTGGCATATAGTCTCTTGGTGCCTCCATACTGTAGCAAAGCTAGAAATTCCGTAGAAGTTCAAGGATAGAGAAGTTCTTTATCTACAGAGACTTGCGAAATGTCATCATGGTTGCGAGATCTGCTACCGAAGAAAGAACAAATGGCAGAATCAGAAACGCAAATTGTAGTGAAGCGGAAAAACCTATTGTCATTATTCAGAGAAGACGACGAAGCCGATGCTGAGTCTCGAGGCATTGCAAGGGAGTTAGAAGACACATTGATAAGGAGAGGTGGCACTGCTAATTCGAAAAGTGCTCCATCCCTCTTCGAATCGGAAAACAAACTAGGATTGGTCCTTCAAGTCTTCCACTTGTGGGCTTGTGGAAGTCAGTCCCCGTCATCCCATTCTGACCCAAAAAACACTCGGGATTTCTCACGAGATTGCTACCAGGATGCGGAGTTCTCGACTCTTGTGGTGCGCCATGGCGATTGTTTGTCAGAAATATCAAGGCTGGTTGGAATTCCAATGGAGGTCTTGCAACGTGTTAATAGCATAGCGAATATCGAGCATCTGAAGGTAGCAGCTCCTCAACATTTGTTCTGGGCTTTATCTACGTCCATGGCATTGTACAAAACTTGTGTGGAATCTTCGCTGTTTCGATTCGTTCTCCGTGTTCCATGTCGTGCTCGCTTTGTCGTAGGACGTTGGATCCGTTACCTCGTGTTCTTATTCCTGGTTTCTAGCTCGTGATTTTTTCTTTCTCTCCCTCTTATTCCTTATTTTTTACGTTAGAATATTTTAGTGCTCCTGAACACGAGTTGATTAGCTGTGCTTTCATTTCTCAATAGGAATGTCTTTACTTCGTAGTGGTTTTTAATTTAGTGTGTGAGGATTAATCTAGAAAAGCGCAACCAAAAGTATTGGATTAGTATTTTTAATACGACATTGTCGGGGGTTCTGTTGTTGGGAGGTTCGAGGGATCCTTAACTTGAAGAATTTGTTCATAATACTCTCAAAGTCTTTGTTTTCTAGACTGCGAATCTAATGATATCATAAAGGTTTCCTTGTCTTCTATTTACGTTGAAAATTGTCCTTGATCCTTGAAAGACACGGTGCATCCTTTGAACTTCATCCTGCAATCATCTTTAGTTGTGGAATAGATCGATATATCCTGCAGTTTGACCAACATACTCTGGGAGGATCAGTCCCCCAACTATCTGGTCGAAGAATTTCTCTTGCTAAGATATTGACATATTTAACAATATGAAGGGCATTTTTGTTTGTTACTTTGTTTATTTCTCGCCGGATCTGCTCTACATTATTCCCTAGTCATGCGGTGGTATCAGCTGCGTCTGTTTCTAGTTGCAGAAGGAGAGATGCTTGAAACTAATAAGTGAGATGGGTCCTTGAGGGGAGGGTTGTGCGAAGGAATACATGATGTTTGGTTGTGGATGGGAGCGGGCGTTTTTGGAATTCGGTTTAGGTTGCTGTCTTGTGAGCTAACAACATCTTGTAAGAATTTACATCTATTAGAGGTTTCGAAGGTTTCTATCGTATTTGGTAACTCAGATTTGTTTACGGTTCAAGCTTCTCAAAGTTATCTGGTCGACATTGCTGCAATGAAACCATTTTGATTGGTTTCTCTTGTACACACACAGACATGTGTATTCTTCTCCTGCCAGAGTTGCTTTACTGTCATGTGTGAGATTAATGCGCATGTGAAAGTTTCTGCTCATATTCTGTTGTTGATCATCACTTCTGGAGATTATCTTAATTGTGTTAGAAGCTGAAAAGGTGGCTTGTTTGTGTTTGCAGCCTGGTCAGAATTTGCGCATTCCAAGGAAGGCGGTATCATCGAAACATAAACGATTCTGTAAGTCATGCCCGACTTCTTCTTTTATGTAACATTGCAAAAACAGGTAGAAGATGTCCAGTGCTGGGAATTTGCAACGGATCATGTTGACGAAGTCTTTAGGTTGGTGAATATCATCGAAGCACCCATGCAAAGAATGCAATTTGATTCTTCGTTCTGTGTAGGGGACGACAAAACGAAGGGAGAGAAACGGGTCATTGCGAATTGGGGGGACACGTTATGGAGCTTAGCAGATGAGCATCATGTCAGTATTGACGACATCCGCCGGTCGAACAACTTGCCTCCGGTACTGCTCTTCGTTGCAACGTGAATTCACGCCGCTAGTGTCCCTGGTCCATCTTTATGAGAACTTCCCCAACTAAAGCATGCTTACTGACATCTGCCATCATTTCATTGTCGGCAGGGATCGAGTCATTTGTATGTAGGCCAGGAACTTGTAATCCCTTCTCCTGCACAACCGATTTGTATGACGCTGTCGCAAGGCCCCCCCTTGCGCTACTTGCTGCGCAAAGAAAATCTAGCAACTATTCCAGCTTTGAAACCAATCGTTCAAAATAAAATTGTGGAATTGATATTGCCGAAGTGGGAACCAGAGCCATTTGGGTTACCCTGCCATGGTGGCTGGCTTAGCTCCTTCTATGGCTGGAAAGGTGGGCATATCAACTTGTAGATGACATACTGGCGTGTGAAATGTTTTTGTTGAGTTCTGAAATGTAGTGGTAGGAAGTGTCTTCAGCTCCACACTAAAGGATCCTCGCAGCCCTCCATAATACAACATTCCGTAAAATTTGCGTATGTGGTTCATTTTGTGAAATGGTTTTGTGCAGATGGGCGCTGGTATTTTCACAATGGCATTGACATTGCTGTTGAGCGTGGTACGGAGGTAATTGCATCAACTAGTGGCAAGGTGAGATTTGCTCCACACAACTTCCTTTCATCACTCTAAATGTCAAATGACCTTATTTTCTCTGAACCCTTTTCCTCTAAAAGTAAAATTTTGCCTTCCTAGGGAGCATAACAACTACCAAAGTTGTTCAGAAGAATGTGGAAATGGCCCTATCCCTCATCATTCACACAGACGATGCACTGAGTATTAAAATATGTTATATATCACCTCCATGCCTATCCTCGTGAACTTGTACATTTCTACGACTTTCTTATGAATTTTTTTGTCTTGTTTTGTTTTGGTTTTGGTTTTGTTCTAGACTGAAGCGAATGTAATTTGATGGTAGGATGTTCAAGGCCGCGGAAATCTTGTTTTACAAAACGCTCATGGTATTGAAATCATGGACCGACATCTGTGCCTCGTGGGTGCAGGTAACATGGTCTGGATGGAAAGGAGGGTACGGGAAAACGGTGTGCATGGACCATGGAAATGGCTACATTACACTCTACGCACACTGTGACAACGTACATGTGCAACCAGGTCAGTTTGTACGCAAGGGGCAAGTCATAGCTCTCTCTGGCAACACGGGCCATTCCACAGGGCCTCATCTTCACTTCGAAATCCACAAAGACGGTAGAACGGTGGACCCATTAGCTCACCTTCCACCTCTTTAGTGAAGACCCACTTCTCCCTGCATAGCTGTGGATTTGCTTACACAAGCAAATTATATCTCAGTGATACTTGAGGAACACCCGAATGATATTGTTTGCTTAAACGTGATATTAAGCAAACATCATTTGGTTCAAATGGCTTTGAAGGACCACAAGAGGTCAGAAAAAGCCACAAGAGTTTCTCACACTTGATGAACAAAAGAAATAGGGGTTGTATGAAGGGTCAATCAGGTTCAATTGACCCAATTATTGTCACCATTAGCGGAATGGTTTCTTGTGTAAAAATGAGTGTAATTTTTGTAAACTTTCAAAAAATATACGAAGTTATTCATCTGAAATTCAGTGATTCTGGCTGCCAACTTGATTGAATTGCTCGTCCCTCATTTTGCTGTCTCTCCAAACTGGGAAGTTTTGGTTTGCTTCGGAGTGCGACATGCTCTGATCTGAACATCCGTTTCAACTCTAAAATTGCAATTGCTTAGTAATGTGTGAGATTACTGCATTTGAAAGGTGTTGTTCACAATTCAACCTTGTCAAGACACCATGTCCAGACCTTCGTGAGTGGCGAAGATAAGTAAAATTCTTCAGTTGTTGGAATGTCACCATTTTTGGCTAAATCAGAATCTGCTCGTTTGAACTACTGGCCACTGAGCCTGACCCTTTGAAGTTGGTCGAAGCTGTAACAGAATTGCTGCTAATATGTGTTCCATTGCTTGCTTTAGAAGCCTAATAGATATATTTTAAACAAATGTGTCCTTAATACATAACATAAATCGTATTAAATTTTACTTGACTCACATTATTTTATTAATGTGTACACATTTGGTTAAGAAAAAAAAACCCCCAAAATCAGTCTACCCAATCATTCATTTTTATCAAAAAATATATTAAAAATTATTGATAGAGAAATTTTGAAAATAAAACAAATTGATATTTTATGCAATATAAATTAGAAAGATAAAATACAAATTATAGTAAAAGTAGAAAAAAAACACGTATCTAGAGTATTCAATTTATAAATATACACAAGTTTAAAGTATATTAGATTTTATATATTATAATACAATTTAATATTCCATGTAGTGAATAATTCTAAATTTTAAAAAATAATATTTACTGACACATCTATTGAGATTTATGTTTAACCTTATAAGAAATATACAATATATTACTTTTAATTATCGTTAAAATTTCATAATAAATTACATATTTTTTGTAATGCAAATCTATATATTTGAAAGGGGATAATGAAGTAAAAATATATTTTTTTGATTTTTGAAATATTATTGTACAATAATTACAGACTATGTATATATGTTTTTAGAATGTGTATTATTATTATAGTCTCATTATAATAACTTTACAACAATAAGTCGTAAATCATCTGGCAAATCCAGATCTACTACATTTGTACAAATATAATCTTTGCATGATAAAGTCATAAGCACAGTTGTACTTTTGTAACACCAAAATCTTAACAATATTTACAGGTGGCCCAATAATACATCAACTAATAATATACTGGTTAAAAATAGTTACACTAATAGATCTATTCATTTTCAAATAAATTAAGGCTGTTAGAATTTCACAGGTTAAAAAAGAAACAGAAAAACAAACAGAAAAAGAAAAAGAAATACTTCCAATACCAATTGTAGATTCTTCACAGAGAGTTCTACATGGGATTTCAATAATGCATGCTTCACGTCAACTGTCATCCATCCAAAACAACCACGTTCATCGATAACCCAATAATTGTCCACTCATCCATCGCACGGGATCACGAACGACTACATTGCCGCGTCAGCAACGGGGTGACCAGTGGCGCTGCAACTGGCTGCGTCGGCGACCGACACTTGGCGCGAAGAACGCCGATCCACGGTCGTAGGGTTTAACCGCTGAAGTGTACCGATGCTTCACGTCGAGAGAGAGGAATGGCACTCTGCAGCGAATTTGACTTCCCTGGGCTTATATTATCCGCGTCTTCACAAGCGTTGTTTCCTATCTTGGATCTTTCATCTCTCAATCAGTTGTTTTTTCCTATATTTTTGTAAGTTATTTGTGGGTTCCTCAATCGATCACCACCACATTGACAAAAAAGTATTGTTTCGCTCGCTGCACGCCGTAAGAGTTTTCCTATGCTCTCTCTGTGCTGTGTGTTGAGTGCCCATTGTGTGTATCATGTGCGATTTCGAATGATCATTGTGAGATCTGATGCCTTGATGTTGTTGCGCTACGGGGTCATTTTGTTTTGTTTCCTGACTTGGTTTTAGGTTGGGTTGAGTGCAGAGTTGGCCGAAAGTCGTGGTTTTGCTGAGGGTTTTCTTCTTCGCTGACTCGGTGTGGTGAGAGGTTTCGTTAGCAATGGCGACCGATCGGAAGATTATTGTTGCTGTTGATGATTCTGAAGTGTCTGCGTACGCCTTTACTTGGGCGTTGCATAATTTGGTTCGCAAAACGGACAAAGTTGTGGTGCTCACTGCTGCTCCTTTCGTCGCTCTGGGCTATCCGTCTCCAGACATGGCTACCGGTGAGTCGCTTTACAAGAGTGACGAAGTGCATGCCTAATCCAGTGAATGCGTTATGTTCTACCGTCGTATAGGTCGTTGATCTGTGACCTTCTCTTGCCCTTAACTTTTCCTCAAAGCATTTGAAAAGACCAGTCTGATTCCCTCGGAGAGAGTTTCTGTTCATTTCTCTCACGGAATTGCAACCGACAATTTTCAGTGTCCTTCAGCAGATTTTACTTGGATTTATGCTTTGGCATTCGTGTTTTTAACGGAGACGGTTGAAAGGGATAAAGAGTTCTTTTTGAGTGATATCCTTTAAAAAAATTGAAGTTATCACGTGGACAACATGGGTTCCATAACCTAGGGCGGGGCGAGCTCGTCTCAGACACTTTTGTACTACTTCATTTGGATAAGTTTAGCTACTTCCTGTTATTTCTTGCAAGGACTGCACTTGCAGCAAAGCTTGAACCTAAAATTTGAGATCGGGGTATAGCGATACGGAAGCAATGGGATTTTTACTGCCATGACTAAAAATCATTCTGTGCATGTGATAGAGTATGGAGCGGGAGCAGTCTCAGTAACAACTGATATCGAAACCAACGAGAAAGATGTAAATACGAAGGCCAAGGATCTCGTTGCTAGATGTATATCGCAATGCAATCAGGCTGGTGTAAGTCACCTTAACTTTTGTGCCCTCTCTTCACTAGCTCAAGGTTTACATGTATCTATGATCATAGGAACCATAATTAGGCTCACATTGGTAGAACGAGCGGTAAAATATTGTGGTTACCTGCCTAGTTATCATGATAGCAGTGTTTGAGATTTTCATGTTATCAAAACTGTTGGACGGCGACTTTATCTCCTTAATTGCTGCCTGGTTGTTTCCTATTTCTCAGGGTTATCAACCTCCCACACCCAATGAAGAAACATTAGAAATGCCTTATCTAATGCAATTTGTTTTTTTAGCTTAGTACAAGTAGTTTACTCATTGCGTAGCACTAACACTTTTTTGATTGTGCATAACAGATTGCATGTGCAGGAGAGGTCGTGAAAGGCGATGCTGGAACCTGGATTGTGGACGAGGCAAATCGTCTTGGCGCAGATGTGATAGTGATTGGCAGCCGAGGGTCTGGAATCCTGAAACGGTGAGGACACTTTCGCCAACTTCAGCAGTGGTTTATGGACGGCAGATGTCAAGATTCTGTGTTTTTTTACTGACCTATTCTGTTTCACGCTACAGGATCATTACAGGAAGCAACAGTGATTATGTGCTGCACAATGCATCTTGTCCTGTGGCTATTGTTCGACATATAGAGGAAGACCTTAAGGTCCATGACCCACTAAATTCTGTTGGAGGTAGTAGAAAGGTCGTCATTGCAGTTGACGAGTCACGAGAGGTATTTCTACTTTCTATTCTGCCTCAATGACTTTGTAGCCAATCTTGGTCTTCTATGATAATGATCAGCTGAGAAGAAACCAATGTAACTTTTCAATGGAGTTCAGATAGTCGAGATCCATCATAGCGATTGAGGGTAAAAAAACAGGAACATTTGAATTAGCTGCAAATTCCTTTGTATTAAAGGAAGGACAATGGTGAGAGCATTCTCTCGCTGACACGAGTCCACATATTGTAGTTATTTATGATTAGGGTTTTGGGCATTGTTATGACGCTGGTTGTTGTTGTTTTAGTTGACGTGGACCACATCAGGGATTGAAATAGACACATCCTAGCTTGCAATGGGAGAATTGATCAAGAAATTCGATTTCTTAATATTGCTTCGTTTTGTGGCAGTCCGTATATGCATTTAAATGGGCACTAGAGAACTTTTCCAGGGAGGAGGATAACCTGATCCTGTATCACGTAAATCAGTCCGTACCACTAGCGGCTACCGCGGGTACCGGTAAGTTTTTTTCTGCTGAGCGATCCTTTACACACGCTAATGGCGTTGGACTTAGCATAGAAATCTATATTTATTGCCACGTCGCTGTGTGGAGTGTACGAGAAATGCCTTTTGCGTGTATTTATTGATGACAGCGTCACTTCTTTTGATTTTACTACTCTTGGAAGATAAATGTGGAGTATCAAGACCATCGTGTGACAAACCGTTGCTTATGGGTTTCATTGTCCTGAAATCAGGAGAATTCGGAATAGAGGAGGTATATGTCCCCAGTCAGATAGCCGGGAAGTCTGAGGTAGAGGCCTTGAATCAGAGCGAAAAGCTGGTGGAGAAGTATATGGAGTACGTAAATAAGGAGACAAAGGTAAACGCGACTCATTTTACAGTAACCTCATCGCCGTAAGCTGAAAATTTCACATTAGCGAACCTTTTAGCATATCAAATAGGGCACTAACTTGTGTGCTATCTCATTTCTTCAGATCAAATGTGAGGGTATTGTGGTAAACGGCCAACCTGAAATGAAGGTTATCGAAGGGTTGACAAATCTTCGAGCTGATGCAGTGGTTATCGGAACTCATGACCGAAGTGTTCTTTCCAGGTACGACCTCTCCGTTTACCAGCTTGGGGATCACATGTTTAATTCATGTCTGGGAATGTTTCACGTCTCGAATTGTCTGATTAACTTTTTCTAAAACTTCCTGACCCCGTATCTAACTTGAATTTGACAGAACAATGCTCTGTAGCCTTACCGACCATCTTGCTCACAACAGCCCATGCCCTTTGCTTGTGGCAAAGATGCCCAAGTCACCTGCTCATCCTGAGACAGACTTGGAGAGCAAACGTGTAGATTAAAGAATCCACTCAGCTAGTCCTCCATCCTTGGTTTCTTTTGAGTTTCATACCTTGACTGCTGACTTTAGGCTGTAGCCTGTTGTCTGTCGAAGACGACATGAAAGCTGTGAATAAGTTGAGTTAGGTTTATTTCTAGATGACACTTGGCCACGTTCATGTGTACAGCTTGAGAAATTTCAGATATGAAAAAACATTTCAATCTCAGTATTGGTACGTGTGATTGTAATCTGGCTTTCTGTTATTTGTCCATGAATGAGTTCTCCTGGTTTGGATAGGCCCATGGGCAACATTTTGGTACATTTGTAGAAATGGAATCCGTGCCTCATTGACTGATTCTCAGGGAACTGGTTCAGTCCACTCGCACAATGAATGAAGGTTTACAGGGTTGTTTCCATTTCTCCACTGTCTATGCGCCAAGGACCATCTTCATATCTCCTTTAGAGATGATATACCAGATGAATATGAGAAGTATCATAGGTTTTTTTTAAGTTCGACCTTGTCAGTGGTGTTTTCTGAAGTACTTGTCTTTTTACAATAAATATAATGAAGATGTAACAAATGGAAAGCTTCTGTAACTTAGCTTGCAAGTTTTGTGGTCCTTGGAAAATTCCTCAGAAATTTTTCTATTGCTATTTCGTTAGAAAATTTGGACAATATATATTTTTGACCTTTTTAAAAAAATGTACTTAGCAACAACTATTTTAATACCTTTCTATTTTTTCCATACATTAGGATTTTTATTCGTTTGTTTTTTCTTTTCTTTTCTCAATTGTATGTAGGTATTTTTTATTTTGACAAGTTCATGTGGATTCATCTTTTTTTTTTAAATCAATCAAAAAATATTATTTATAATGATTTTTACTATATAATGATTTTATATCATAAAAAATTAATATTGTTTGTCATTGTTAAAAGAATTATTGAAATCATTACAATCAATTAAGGTAAAGTTTAAAATTTTGATATGAACTTTTTAACATAAGAATAAAAATGCTTTAAAACGTGATTCAAATATTAGTTATAAGAAAAAAAATGCCCCTGTTGAAATATCAAGAATAACCCTGTAGAAGTGATAATATCAAATCCACCCTTGAGGTTGATAAGGTATCACAATTTATTTTTTTTAAAGTCCAACTGGGACCAACCTGCGGGCCGCGGATAAATCGGCGGGCCCATTTCCACATTTTTCCGCACAGTACGCCATCAATCTCACACAAAAATAATGATACTAGCCCATCAACATTCGGGGCACATCCATGGTTTGTCCACGAAGCAACTGGCATTGTTCACGCCCGTAGACAAACTCTCGCAATTCAGCGTAATCGCCTTCCGATTCCCTCAAAGCCTCATTGAAAACTTAGCAAGCCAACACAAAACTATGCGTTAAATGCGAAGTCCTGGATTACAACTGATGGCTTCATCACAACCTCCATTCACTCGTAAAACGTGTCCAGACGAAATTCTGCAATGGCTGCGATTACATAAGTTGGATTTCTCGAGCTCCTTCTCATTGCGGTGATGAGCTCTAAGGGGGAGGAGACCTGTAGACATGGGAGGAAGAGTAAGGAGGAGAAGTGTACACCGGGGAAGGGGAGTAAGGAGGAGACTCATAGACCGGAGAAGGTGGAGGGCACTTCTTCCCGAAACTCGGCAGCTTGGGTTGCGGCGGCAACGTGAGCTCGGGGTTGGGAGGCAAAGTGGGCAGCGGCGGCAATTTGGGCTTCTCGGTAGGCGATAGACCATTCTTGAACTTCATATGGCGTGTTGCACGATTCTCTTCCACAAAAATTCTGGCAGCTGAGCAGCTGCAAGCGACGAGCATGAGAGTTCCGATCAGCACCAGTGCTTGGAATCCCTTCATCTTGAGCTGCAGTAGTGAGTCGATCAGCACAAGCGGTGGAATGGTGGCAGTGGCTGCAAGATGGTGGAATCTTATGGTTTTTTAAAAGGGAAACTTGTTGGGATTTGCGTAATGCAGTGGTTTGAACAACTCCGCTCTCTGACACTCGGAGCTACAGCCAGGGTGTCCCCACTCAAGTTGTTGCAGTTTTGCAGTGTTCGATAGCTGATGCTGCCCTGATGGTGCCACCCATACAAACACCCCAGATGCAGAAGACCAAAATTTGAGGTTGTGAATCCTTACGTCAAGTTGAGTGTGTCAATCGGAGCTTTTACTGACTGCAAGCTATTCCTTGGAAAACCCAGTGCGCAAGAGGTGCACAGAGAGCTTGGGCTTCATCAGCTCATAATGCAATCGGAGATTGCTCATTAGCTCATCGGCCATTGAATCGGAGTCGCATATGCATGGCGCAAGAGCGCTTTCAACGACAGTTCTTGTCGGTAGCATCAGCGTTGATTTGCTGCACAATTTCACTTCATACGCGATGTGCCCCAAGTCGAATTACATAGAGTATCTCAAACGAGAAAGGATGACGCTGAATGACGAGAGTTTGTCTATGGGCGTGAACAATGCCAGTTGCTTCGTGGACAAACCATGGATGTGCCCCGAATGTTGATGGGCTAGTATCATTATTTTTGTGTGAGATTGATGGCGTACTGTGCGGGAAAATGCGGAAATGAATCCGCCGATTTATCCGCGGCCCGCAGGTGGGACCTGGTTTGACTTTAAAAAAAAAAAAAAAAAAATGTGAGATCTAGGGTAGATTTGATATTATCAAAGAAGTGAGGGGTAAATTTGCTATTATCAAGAACACATGGATATTCTTGATACTTTAACATATTTTAGGGGTACAAATGATATTTTTCTTATTTATAAACCTCAATGGTGTGCAATCCAACAACAATCTGTACAATGTCATCTTTTATAAAAGTGGTAATTGGCCTAAAATATAAAGATTTGCATTAAAGAACTATATATATATTGATTTGTAGAAAAAAGAAAAAAACAATATTAGATGTGTTTGTTAAAGTAAGTAAGTAAATAAAAGTTAAAGTAGAATAAGTTACCTTGTAGAAGATATTATCTAAGATAAGTTGCTATTGGTAAAAAAAATTAGCTCTTGGTATATAAGAAGGCCAAGAAATAAAGTAGATAAAAGGACCAAGGATCTTAAGAATATATCGAATATACTAAAAGAATATTCTTATAGTAGATAAGATAACAATAGATAGTCTTGATAGAATGTTGGATGGTTGTATTTATGAAAGTATGGAAGTTGTCGATTAAGACAAAAGCCACCACCTTTAAGTAACAAGTGCTGGAAATGAGAGATATCTTACTCCATACTCTCTTTGTATGCAACCTTGCTGATGTTAAGTGTTGTGATTTCATAGTGCTTGTTCTTCAATAGTTCTTCAATAGTTCTTCAATAGGTTATGGGCCCACTTACCTTTAGTTGTAAATTTTGAAGTTCTTTGAAGTCTTACTTATTGTGAAGAGTAGATCTTTTTGTTGTTTCTGATGTTAGGATTTGGTATCATCTAATTCTATTGTTGTATCTAGTTGTTGATATAGTTTTGCTCTTACTTGTTGTTAAGTGCATTGATAATCTTAGAGGTTGTTAGATACCTTAGAATGATGTTTTAGAACATTAGTATTGTATTTCTTTGTTGATTTATATCATTTGTGATCTAACATTGTGGTTTTATGTGATAAACTTTCCTTGAGATCCTCTTATAGTGATAAGAAGTATTTTGTGATGTAAGACATATTTCATGAGACAAGAGAAGTGATTGTGGAGTGGCAAAGCTTATACAAGAGGTTAAGATAGAGTATAAGACTTGTGAGAAGTCTTATAAGTGAAGTTGAGAGTGATTAAAGAGTGAAATCACTTGTTTATTTACAAAAAAGGTATTTTGGGTTTTTAAGTTAGTAATACCTTTTTGTTGATTTTGAGAACTTTTTCTTTTATTTTTCTTGATATTTTTTTATACACCTTTTTTTTTAGATATGGCTTTAAGTAAAGATAAAAGTTTAAGAGTAATTGAGAAGTTTAAAGGTAATAACTTTTACCATTGAAAGAAAAAAATGGATTTTTTTGTTGATTTCATTGGTCCTTTGGAACATTGTAGATGAAAGTGAAGAACCTTCAAGTCATGATGTTGATGTCAATGTGAAGAATGAATATAAATGCCGTGAAAGAAAAACTTTTGGTATGATTGCATCAAATTTGGATGATGCCAACTTTTCACATGTAATTACTTGCAATAGAGCTACAAAAGTATGGAAGACTCTTTGCAACAACTATAAGAATAAAAACCTAGCCAAAATTTTCTAGACGAGGAGGAAGTTCTTAATGGTAAAGGTGGAAGAAGGAGATGACCTCATGGCTCATATCAACAAGATAAAAGCATTGGCAAACCAACTAGCAATTGTTGATAGGCGAGTTGATGATAAGGACATTGTATTGACATTGATCATGAGCCTTTTCGGGTCCTATAGCTATCTCATTGTGGTATTGGAGTCTAACAACATGAAAGAGCTTACCATGAATTATATCACATCAAGGCTTGTCCATGAAGTGACCAAAAGGAAAGAAAATGAGCTTCAAAGTCATGATTTGGCTCTAATTTTAAGATAAGACAAAGGTAGCTATTCTTACCAATATAATAATTTTAAAAGAAATATAAAAAATTACTATATTTATAAAAAATCAAGTTACTTTCCTAAGAATTGCTATAAAGCTAAGAAAGAAGATGGGAAGAATGCAAACAATATTCATGATAACTTTGATGGAGATGATTATGTTTTTATGGCAAGTAAAAGAGTGTCTATGACTGATATGTCTTAGTGGATTATAGATTCGGATCCTACTAAGCATATGACACCATACAAGTATTTATTTGACACTTATAAAGAAATTCTAGCAATCAAAGTTTAGTTGAAAGAGAATGGCATGGTACAAGCCATTGAAATTGGATCCATTGTTGTGGAAATCATTGTGAAGAACCAAATCAAGAGAATCACATTGAACAAGGTCTTACATATGCCAAAGATGAAGAACCTCCTTTCAGTGAGCAAACTTGTATCACTTGGTTGTAAGGTTTAATTTGATAAGAATAGATGTTTTGTGAAGATATTGAATAGACAACATATTGTCAAAGGTCTTAGAGAGGACAACCTCTACTTCATCAATTGTAAGAAGGTGAATAGAATAAAAGTGATAGCATTTGTTGATTTTTCACAAGATCAAGATAAATTTAGAATTTGGCATCAACGACTTGGTCATTTGAATGTCAAAAGC